ACCTATGGCCACTATGTGGCGTACGTGCGCGCCCCGGACCACCGCTGGTACCTCTGCGACGACGACAGCGTAGTGCCGGTGTCACTCGGGAAGGTGAGGGGGCAGCGTCACTTGGGACGGCGAGGGGACACCGCCCGTCCCTCCGCCCTCCGCACGTGTGGCGCGGCCCGGCCATCCTCGCCGCTCCGGCTGCCTGAGGGCCCTTGTCTGTTCGCGAGAGCGTCCGTGCGTGGGCGCGTGCTTTGAGTGTGACGGGGCCTCGCCGCTACCGCGACCCGTGTGCCCCAGGTCCTGTCTGCCAACGCCTACATGCTGTTCTACGAGCGAGACACCCCAAAGCCCGCCCCAGACCCCACATACCGCCGCCCGGCGCCTCCGGGGGCGCGCACGGGCCCGGCGGCCGCAGCGGCGGTGGCGAGCGGCGGGGGCGAGGCCGAGGAGGAGCCGGAGGGTCAGGCGCGGCAGGCGGCGGCCGCGGGGGCGGCAGGGGCAGCGGCGGCGCCGCCGGCCCCGGGCGGGCTGTTCAGCAGCGTCGCGTCGCCGCCGCCGAGCGGGCTGGGTCTGCCTATGGCGTCGTCGGTGCCGGCGCCGCTCGCGCCGCGCAGCGCCGCGGTCCAGGGCGCGGCGCCCGCGGGGTCCTCAGCGGCGGCGCGTTCGTCGACGCCGTTCGCTGCGGGTTCGCAGCTGGCGCCGCTCGGCGCGCTGCCTGAGCAGCAGCAGCAGGACCAGGCACAGCAGCAGAAGCAGCAGCAGAAGCAGCAGCAGGAGCAGCAGCAGGAGCAGCAGCAGGAGCGGCAGGGCCAGCCGAACATAGCGCATCATAACAACAATCAGCAGCAGCAGGAGCAGCAGCAGCAGCGGGGGCCGGCGCGCGGCGCGACGTCGTCGCCTGGGGAGCAGCTTCGAGACCGATTGTCACGCGTCAGCACGGCGCCTGCGGCCCTGGTGCGGATGACGCCTTTTGGGGGGGACGCGCCGTCCCCCCGCAGCGCCTCCTCCACATCATCAGACGGCGAGGCCATCGCCGCGGCGCTCGCGGCGGCGCCGCGGCCCGCTCGGGGCAGCGGCAGCGGAGGCGGCGGCGGCAGCGGCGGCGGGGGCGCCGCAGCTAGCGAGCGGGCGGGCGGCATCGGCGGCGGCGCGGCCGCGCAGCGGGCGGGCAGCAGCGACAGCGCGGGAGCAGACCTGCCGTCGCCCTCAAAGCTGTTGGCGGCCGCCCGCGCGCAGGCGGAGGCAGCGGCGCACGCCGCCGCCGCCGCCACACCGCCGGCGGACGGGCGGCGGCCGTCGTCCGGCGGCCCCGCGGCCTTGCCGCTGCCCTCCCCTTTCGCGCCAACATGCGAGGCGGGCGGCCCGGCGCAGGGTGCGGCGGCAGCGCCGCCAGCGGCGCTGGGTGTAAGCAACGGCGGCGGCGGCGTCTGTGTGCAGGACCAGCTCCCGACTCCACAGCACTCGCTGAAGCTGGAGGGCGGCGCGCTGGTGCTGCGTGTGCAGCTGCCCGGCGTGGAGAGCTCGCGGGAGGTCACAGTCAATCTGCTGCCGGAGCTGCTGCAGGTGGGTGTTGAACAAACACACTCTGCTTGGTGCACCCAGCGCGACGTCCGGCTGCACAGCTGCGCAGTCCTGGGGCGGAGAGGGTTCACGGGGCGGTCCCCCTGACGGAGCTGCTCGCCCGCAAGCCGTTTGGCAGCGGCACGACCGCAGGCCACTGGCAGCTGGATTCGGGTAGCTCCGGAGTCTGTGCTGCTCCATTCCCCAAAAACGCGTTTGTGCGCGTGTCATCCAGCCAGATGCATGCCCCCTGTCTTACTCCCCCACTCTCTTTGCCTCCCTGTCTGTTACACCCACACTACAACACACACACACACGCACACACACATGCACACGCTTGCACACACACACACACACACACACACACACACACACACACACACACACACACACACACGCACGCACGCCCACACAGATCGCCGTCCCGGGCCGCTACCAGCTGCTGGAGGTCGAGCTGCCGCCCTCCCTCACCCTGGGCCGCCCCGTGGCGCGCGTGGCAGTCAAGCTCTTCAAGCGCACAGCCACACTGCGCGTCGCGGTGGACCTCGGGGATGGCCCAGAGCGGCGGGGGTCAGAACAGGCACAGCAGCAGCAGCAGCAGCAGCAGCAGCAGCAGCAGCAGCAGCAGCAGCAGGCGCCTGTCGTGGTGGACTGGTGGAGCTCGGGCTCCGACGGCGGCCTCGCCCGCGCCAGCGTCAGCGCCAGCGAGGCGAGCACCTCGTCCGCCGGGCCCAGCTCCCCGCGTGTGCGCCTCGCCGCCGGCGGGGCTGGCGTCGCTGCGCCCCCCGCGGCGCAGGCGGACGGCGCTGACCTGGCGGCGGCGGTGGGCGCGCAGCTGTCGTCGTCGCTGCAGTTGCACACGTCCATGTCGATGGGGGACCTCTTCCTCTGCGGCCTCCACGCCACCGCGCGCGCGGAGCAGGTGCTGCGGCGCTTCGGGCAGCCGCAGCCGCAGCCGGCCGCCGCCGCGGCGGGCGGGCCGGCGCCGGCGGCGGGCGATCCGGGCGCGTGATGGCTGTGCCTCGTGGTTTTTGTTTGCGCATTGTTGCGTGCGTTTTTGCTTTCGCCGTAGCTTTCAGGGCCTTAGGTTGGGGCACGCAGCATGCATGCTATGTTGCAAGCCTTGTCGCAACAGATGAACGCAGCTGTCTCTGTCGCGAAACGCACCGCGCCGGCAGCAGCGCCGGCTGTTGGCCGCGCCGCGGCCGCCCCTTCCCACCGGGCCTGCCGGCCGGCCGCCCCCGCGCGGCCGGAACGCCGCGGCTGCGCCCCGCCGCACCCCAGGTCTCTCAATCCTTGTTGCGTGCGAGTAACGCTTTTACGACACACTGCATGCTTGCTGCACACATACCAAGAAAGGGCACTGGCATCTCGGCACAGTCGCCCCGCAGCATTGTCAAGAGTATGGGATCATCAACTCGGCCTAACAGTCAGAACCAACACCCAGGTTCGGCGGGCACACCAGCACGCCGGTCTGCGCCACAGGTGCGCTTGCGCCCCTGCTTGCTGGGTGTGGTCTTCGCATCGCTTCGGCTTGGCGTGCGGGGAGGGGAGCGTTCCGGGCGGCGCCGCGCCCTCATGCGTTGTCGAGGCCCATCTCCAGCTCGAGCTGGCTGAAGTGGTGCAGCGCGTGCTCCACCTTGCGCAGCTCCTCCTGGGTGGGTGAAGGGAGGGGGATGGATGACATGAGGCAAGGGGATTTATAGTTTTGTCCAAGTCATTGGCTGGTAGTGCTCACTGAATTTACAGGTGCTGGCGGCGTGCGTGCATATGCAAGTGTGTGTGTGGGGGGGGGGGTGCTGCGTGCTTGCGCGTGCACATGCGTTTGTATG